ATCCCATTTTTGAGAGTTTTTTTTTTTTTTTTTTCTCTAAAGCAAAGAGGTAATTCTTAAACAGCCTGCAGGCCAAATAGCATCACAGTTCCAGTAGGGACAGCCTGATCCCAACGGAATCAGGCCAGAGGCTGAATGGCACAGTTCCAAATAGGAACAGCCCAGTTCCAAAAGGAATTGGACCAAATGCCAGCACAGTTCCAACAGGGACAGCCTGATTTCAAGTCCGGCTCAAGTGCCAAGTGAGTACTCACGGACAAAACAAGGCCTTAACAAAAAAGGATGAAGCCTTTGAACAGATCCCAGATAAAGCCTAGAGAGCTTCCAAATGCAAAAAGAGTGGAGCTCAGATCCAGGAGAAAAGCTTACCCTCAAACTCCAGGGGTGACTAGAAAAACAGTGAGCTCAGTGGGCTCTGTTGGTACCACACCTGTTTGCTCACCAGCCTTGGGGTTGTCAGGGGTCTGCTCTGGATCTCGGTCGGACCTCCATGTAATGTTAACCTAAAACAGTTATTTTTATCAGCAAAACGAGTTTATTAAGGAGCAGCAAAGAATTGCAGTTCAGAACATACAACTATGGTGAACCACATGCAAGTCGGGTAAAGCAAAAGAGAGGAAATTCTTTTATAGAGGAGAAGGGGGCATTGTGGGGAGCTGTTATAAACAGTCCATTGGAGGAAACTGGGGGTTCAAAGTGTAGTGGTTTTTCATTGGCTGAGCTGTAATGATCTCTCATTGGTTGGGCTGCTGCGAGGCAAGGAGAATGTCTTCCTCCCACAGGCAGCAGTAAAGCAGTGTCACTTCCGTATGGAGATGCAAGGTAGTCTCTTCTGTTAGGATCTGTATTGATGTGAGTGGGACGTGCATAAGGGCTCCCCTTCTGGTCTCCCACTCCATCTTAGTGAGATTCCCTTGGTTAATTTTCACAAGAGAGTTTCAAAATTCCTTTAGTGGGCTTCCCTGGTGGTGCAGTGTTTATAAGAATCCACCTGCCAATGCAGGGGACGTGAGTTCGAGCCCTGGTCCAGGAAGATCCCACATGCCACGGAGCAACTAAGCCCACGAGCCACAACTACTGAAGCCTGTTCACCTAGAGCCCTTGCTCCTCAACAAGAGAAGCCACCGCAATGAGAAGCCTGCGCACCACAACAAAGAGTAGCCCCCACTTGCTGCAACTAGGGAAAGCCCGCGTGCAGCAACGAGGACCCAACTCAGCCAAAAATAAATAAATAAATTTATTTAAAAAAGAATTCCTTCAGTTATTTTTAAGCATGAGTTGAAGTCTACTTTTGATTCTGTTCTATTAAGCAGCCTTTTTAAATATTTTTTTTTCTTATTGGAAAAAAATTACAGTTTTATTAAAGATGCTAAAGAAGACCTAGATAAACAGAGATATAGTATGTCCACTGATACAGAGAGTTTACTTTTTTGAGGACGTCAATTCTCAAACTGATCAAAATCCCAGCATATTTTTTTCAAGGAGCTGGACAAACTGGATTTTATGTTCACATGGATGAACAAATGAGCAAAATACCGAAGACTATCCTGCTGGTCTTGGGGGGTCTCCGAGGAGGTGGGAGGCAGCTGCAGCTCACTGTGGGGACAAGGACACTGGTGGCGGAGGTACCAGGGAACACCCACTGGCGTGAGCTCTCCTGCAGACCATCACCCTGGCACGAAGACCCAGCCCCACCCAACAGCCTGTAGGCTCCAGTGCTGGGACGCCTCAGCTTAAATACAATTATTAACATTCTGTCTAAACTTCTTTATACTCGTCAACTTGAAATGCCAAGAACCATGATCTTTGTGTTAAAATCTTGCACTGCTCTTGTATTTCTGTCCATTTCTCCTCCTCACCATTGTGTTGTATCAATTTTCATGCCGTGTTACTTAGAGCAGAAGTGTTCATGACAGTTAATAGCTCATCATGGTTCATACTATTCAGTGTCCTTTCTGATGTTTAATAACATTTAATAATATTTCTTTACCCAGGTTTTAAAAAGTAATTTTCAGAAAGAAGTAAAATATGGCTCTCAAACAGATATGAAAATGATCCCGAAAAAAAAAAAAAATCCCGTGTTTAGAATTCTCTTCTGTTTATTAAACAGTGAGGAAATCAGTCACATGTTATAAGCAATTCCAAGGAAAAATCAAAAGAGCACAAATTTATATGGAGTAAAGGAATTGAATTGCAAATGGGGCAGAACTGGTTTCTCTAAAGGGGGGAGGGGGAGCCCATGAAAACTCCAAGGGACAAGGTGTAGTTTGCATGTCTGTCAACTTCCAGAGTTGTAAAGTAGTTCAGGCACAATGAGAGGCAAGAACCTGATAGCTCCTCAGGGTGTGCAGTAGGCTATGCAGTTTCCATTGGAACACAGTTTTTTCCCTGCAGTTTCTTTTTTAAAAAATTAATTTATTTACTTTTGGCTGCATTGGGTCTTCGTTGCTGCGTGTGGTCCTTCTCTAGTTGCGGCGAGCAGGGGCTACTCTTCGTTGCAGTGCACAGGCTTCTCACTGCGGTGGCTTCTCTTGATACAGAGCACGGGTTCTAGGTGCACAGGCTTCAGTAGTTGTGGCATGCAGGCTCAGTAGTTGTGGCTTGTGGGCTCTGGTGCACAGGCTCGGGAGTCGTGGCACTCAGGCTTAGGTGCTCCGCGGCATGTGGGATCTCCCCGGCCCAGGGCTCGAACCCGTGTCCCCTGTTTTGGCAGGCGGATTCTTAACCACTGCGCCACCAGGGAAGTCCCTCCCTACAGTTTCTCAGCTTTTGATAAAAAAATAATCTTGGGGAATTCCCTGGCGGTCCAATGGTTAGGACTCTGCACTTTCACTGCTAAGGGCTTAGGTTCAATTCCTGGTCGGGGAACTAAGATCCCACAAGTCGCACAGCGTGGCCAAAAGAAAAAAGAGAAAAAGAAAAATAATCTCAAAGACTATTCTTGATCACAAAACAAGGCTGGTATCATTTGGCCTGATCGTTTCCATAGGCGCAGCAAGAGTGTTAACTCACGGTGTTAGCCTTCTTGAGTTTGCTTTGCTGGAACTTTCCATCACAATTTCAGATTGGACTTTTGAAAGCTTCTTGTTTGTTGTCCTGAGTCCAGGAAGCCAAGAACTCACCATGTTTCACCTGCTTGGTGATTTTGAGAAAATTCCTTTTTTCTTGAGGTTTCCAAAATATTCTGAGGTTCCTGGACCTGCCAGGAGATGACCTTCCTTAACCCTCTGTGAGCCTGGCACCTGCCAGTTATCCTGGGAGGGAGGGCTTTGTGAGCATTGCTCCATGAAGTCAACCACAGATCCTTACAGGCAATGGGTCCTGATGATTAAGTGAGTATCATTCTCAACTCTGGCCACCCAGGCAGGGCCTTGGCTGCATAATCCACATTTCCAGTCAAATCCTGGTAAAAACAAGGACAGATTCTCTTTGAACCTATGCAAATTACTATATTGTCAGGCAAGTAAGAATAGTCAGCAGGAGTTTCTGTGTTCTGGAGGACTCGGGCAGGTAGAACAAGATATCACTTAGAAATGTTTCGTTTCAGTTTACAAAACCAGAGACCACAAATGTATATGGACTACAGACAGCTTAAGGGGAAAAAGAATGAGTTCCTTGCATATCTAGAAAGGAGAACATTAAAATCACATCTATAGTGTTCCCAACAACAGCTGCCTCGTCCCTCATTGGTTCCTTCAGTCCTAGGTGGTTAATCCTTGTTCCTCTCAGTCTTGGTTCTGAGGTCTCAACGGTCCATCTGCTTCTTGACTAGAGTTCTGGAAATCCTGAGTCAGTCCACTGGGATGGCCTCACAGTGGTCTAAGCAATGCCTGTAGCACAGTCTTTTCCCACTGTGCTGACCTGACTGTAAAGCTTTCTCTCCTTTTTCTTCTTTCTTTCTTTCATTTTTTTTTCCATTAAAGTAAACAAACTCTTTGTAGATGTTCACTGAAGAAAAAATGCACAACCTAAAAGTTGAGAATTATGTTTTATTCAAGAACATTACTGAGGACTGCAGTCTGGGAAAGTAGCCTGTCAGATGGATCTGAGAGACTGTTCCAAAGAGGTCAGGAAGGAGAAAGAATATGTAGGAGTTTTTGCTGAAACAATATATAGGTAGTCAGACATCGAAAGATTACTGCTAATCACAAAAAGCAGACATCTCGAGGATTTTAGTGCCTTTCTACCTATGGGAAGATGCAAGACCTTGGGCCCACTGAAATCATTCCTTTGATATGCATCTTAACTATGTAGGGACAGTGTCCTGTTTTTCTCCATCCCAAATCCCCTCAGGGTGCACAGTTGAGGTGGCCGCAGAGGCTGATAGCTTGGTGGCAGGCAACATTCTTTGTTTATTGAAATGGCAGACAACATTTTTTTTGTCCACGGAGATGTCAAAGACTTAACATGGCCATGGTTAACTTACTAATAATTTTCAAAAGTGAAAGATCTGATGAGAGTTCATAACAAGAATAGTGCAACTGAGAAGTCACAGTTGGTTGTTTCTGTGTCATGCAAAACAAAGTTAGTCCCCCACCGCCCACCCCCCACCCCCACCCCACCCCACCCCCGGCAAAAAAAAGTTTTAGATAAAGTTAATCTAAGATGTTTACGCCTATTTTCAAAGAGGACTGCTGAAGCATTGATTACAAGAATAAGCCTCAAGTGTATATACTTAAACTTTTGCTTCTTATTTTTCTCTGCTGCGGAGAGGGTATGTCTTTGGGTCTCTTAATGGATGGCTCATGACTGCCACTTTGAGAAGCTGCATAAGGGGTATGTGCTGCTGTGGAAGGCTTCTGTGTGTTCTGAAGTCTGCTGAAATGCTGGTGTGTGTTGTACAAGTCACAGGTGTCCACCCCCCAAGTTCTCTTGAAAGAGAAGTGACTTTGGTTTTGAAGAGGTACATACTGTTCTTCTTGAGTATTTGTATTCAGCACAAGAGAAACCCAAGTGATGTCCACACAGAGGACAAACCGTTTCCCTCATCTCGTTTATAGGGAAGCTGCCTCATCACCCCCTTCCTACCCCTGAGGCCCAGGGTTCAGGTGAGGCACCTGATGCACGCTTGGGACCATTGCAACCCCGTCTCACAACTCAGGTAACACTCCTTTACGTAAGAAACTTATTTCTAATAACTTTTTACTGATTGCTTAAATACTTCATTTCATAACAGAAACTTTAAAATACAGTAAACACAATTTAAAAAGTTTCCAACTTTTAGCATTTCAACATAGTTGCCAGTGACATATCAGTGTGTTTCCTGCTATTTTTCAAAATTACAAAGTATAATATATATATATGTTTTATTATATAGCTTTACCTACCTAGGTATTATTTTCTAAATCTTTACCAACATAATAGTTTAAAAAATGCATCTTTTAAAAATGCCTTATATTCCGAGCAATGTTAACTTTTTTAATCTATTTATCAGCCATTTATATTTCTTCTTTTGTGGGTTATTTATGCAAGTTTTTAGCTAATTTTTCTACTTGTGTGTTTGTATTTTTCTTGTTAGTTTTTAGGGGTTCTTTATGTGTTAAGGAAATTGCTCCTTCTCTGTTACACATGTTTCTCAAACTTGTCATTTGCCTTTTAATTTTTCTTTTTTTAAAAAATCCACAGATAACTTTTTTTTCATCTAATGAACCCTGTCAGTCTACTTTAAAGGTTTATTTCGCTGTTTTCTGGCTTAGAGGTTTCTTTCTGTATTTTGAGTTTAGGTAAATATTCACCTGTTTCTCTAGTTGTTCTATTTTACTAATTGTCATAGTACCCTGTAAGTAATTATCCTCCTTTTTCTCACTGATTTTGAATTGACATTTTTATCATGTACTAAAAATCTATACTCTTGCTTATGTTTGTGTTTAATTTTTTATTTTGAAATAACTTCAAATTTACACAAAGTTGCAAGAATAGCACATATACCCTTCACTTAGATTAACCAATTGTTAACTTTTTGCTACATTTGCTTTATCATTCTTTCTCTTCCCTCCCTCTGCTTCCTCCACATTTTAGAGAAATAGGTAGATCTACGTTGCAGACATCGAGCCCCTGGATGTCAGAATACAAGGACACTCCCTGACATATAGCTGCAGTAAAATATAAATTATCAAAATCAGGAAACATAACATTAATGCAGTCCTAGAATTTAATACATATTCTGTGTTCAGATTTTGCCAGTCACCTCTTTTCAGCCATCCTCCTCCACCAAGCAGGCCATCCAGGACCTGTGTGGCATGCAGCCCACGCGTGTATGTGCACATGTCTCCTTCAGCCTGGACGACTTCTCAGCCCTTCTTTGTCTTTCACAACATTGGCATTTTTGACAAGTTAGGCCAGTGCTTTGTAGGTGATGGGCCTGATGCTGCAGCATTGTTAGGTTCGGGTTCTGCATTTGCTTTCTGTACAGTTCCAGTGAATTGTCTGCTCCTGAGCAGGTGCTGTCCAGCTCTGAATCCCGTAGCTTCGTAATGTTTTAATAAGTTACAAATACATATAACAGCTTGCCCTTGTTTCTGTTCCTTTACAGAATTTTCTTGGTTGTTCTTTCCATTTATTCTCTGTTGGGTGGATATTGTTATTTATGTGTTTATTTTTATTTTAAGTATTTTTAGACTTCTAAGATAAAAAGACTAATATAATGAAACCTGTGTGTACACCATCCAACTTAATAAGCAAAATGTTGTGAGTTAAAACCCCTTTGAGTGTTCTGCCCCCGATATCCATGGTCCCTTCAGACTTGCCCGAGCTGGTGTTTCTCTCTCTCAGCAGATATTTAAAGAATCTGTGTAAATCACACCCGGCTGTGTGTACATCATTCTGTACACACGCTCTCATTCAGCACTGTGTTTCTGATGTACACAGTTGACCCTTGAACATCGTGGGGGTTAGGGGCACGGACCCCCCACCAGTGGTCGAAAATCCACGTTTAACTTTACAGTCATCCCTCTGTATCGGTGGTTCTGCATCCGTGGATTCAGCCAGCTATGGATCATGTAGTCCTGTACTGCATATTTATTGAAAAAACTCCGCATATAAGAGGACCTGCCCAGTTCAAACACATGTTGTTCAAGGGTCAACTGTATATATGTTGGTACATGTAGCTCTAGTTCAGGAATTGGCAAACCTTTTCTGTAAAGGACCAAATAGTGAATATTCTGGCCTGTAAGAGCCAGAGTCTCTGTTGCAACTTCTCAACTCTGCATTTGCCCTGAATGCCAGCACAGGAGATATGTAAATAGGTGGGCATGGATGTGCTCCAGCAAAAGTTTATGGACCTTGTAACTTTAATTTCATAATTTTCATGTCATGAAATATTTTTCTTCTTTTTTGATTTTTTTCAACTATTTAAAAATGTAAAAACTATTTTTAGCTCATAGGCTGTACCAAAAAATGTGGCGGGCAGGATTTGGTCTACAAGTTGTGCTTTGCTGACCCCAGGGCTAGACACACGTTGGCGTATTTTCTTTCTATTTTGTGAATACACGAGCATTTACTTATCCATTCTTCTACTGATGGGCATTTAGGTCAGTTACCATTTCTTTGGTGTGAACATTGTTACAGATGTCCTCATGTGCAGAAGTTTCTCGGGCATGGACCTAGGATCAGAATTGCTGTGTTCTAGGCTGTGTACATTTTATCTTCCTTAGATACTGTTGAATGACACTGTCAAGTTGTTATACTGGCCTATACCTTCAGACAATGCATGAAGATCCTTTATAGTGTGTCCCATATAGGTATTTCAGAGGTCAACAAAATATAGTCATCTGTTTTTGTTGCTATCAAAATTGTTTTAATAAACAGGCTTCATTTTTCAGAGCAGTTTCAGATTCACAGCAACATTGAGCAGAAAGTATAGAGAGTTCCCGTGTACCTCCTGCCCCAACACGTGCACAGCCTCCCATGTCATCAGCAACCCCCAGCAAAGTGGTTAATTTGTTAGAATCAATGAGCCTGCCCTGACACATCATCACCACAGTCCACAGTTTACATCAGGGGTCGCTCTTGGCATACTTTCTACGGGTTTGGACTAGTGTATAATGGCACATGCTCATTATTACAGCATCACACAGAGTAGTTTCATGGCCCTAAAACTCCTCTGTGCTCCACTGTTCATCACCCTTAACCCCTGGCAACCACTGATCTTGTTCCTGTGTTCATGGTTTTGCCTTTTCCAGGATGTCACAGAGTTGGAATCAAACAACAAGTAGCCTTCTCAGATGGGCATCCTTCCCTTAGCAACATGCATGTAAGGTTCCTCCATGTCTCTTCCTGGCTTGAGAGCTCATCTTTTTATTGATGAATAATTGTCTAATAGCTGTACCAGTCTGTTTCTCTTCAACATCCCTTTAAACTTACACTTTCCTACTGTTGCTGGTCATTTGGAACAGAGTTGACTTTTGTAAAATGATTTTGTAGCTATTAACTCTTCTGAACTGATTGATGCCAACACATGTGTCAGTATTTCTCTTTGCTTTTGTGTGTTGATGGACGTAGCATCTGGGGTAAGGACCGGGCTGCTTCCTTTTCTGGCCTCACACCATTCATCTTTTCTCACCCCACTGTCCTGGGCAGGACCCCACACAGCGTGGAGGAAAACTGGGTGGCTGACACCCACACATTTGTCCTGGTTTACAGAGAATGCTTTTCCCATTTTTTATCTTCAGGTAGTATGTTTGCTGTAGGCTTTAGTATTATGTTGAACCATATAAAATTGCCATTTTATGGGTCAAAAGTGGTCAGATACCAGCAATTTCATATAATTTGACCTAATACAGACTCTCCATCAGTTTAGATAAGTTTGTTTGTTTGTTTGTGGCTTGTGGGATCTGAAAGTTTAACTGAAAGTTAAAACGAAAATGTATGAGTGCATTACTTGGCTGAAAATCCAAAACGTAATTAAACTTGAGCAGGAGAAGCGGCAGCAGCAGGTGGCCCTCGTGCAGGGCTCTGCACAGTCCCGGGCTTCTGTTCTCCTCGGTGCCCCCTCCTGACTGCTTTTCCACAGGCTTCCCCTCAGAGGGAAGATGTGAGTGTTTAGGCTGCAGAGGGCCAGCTGTGCACTGAAGATGTGTCACAAACAAGAGCTGCAGGGCCCCTTGTGTGCCTGGCGGGGCCCAGGGTGCCCTCCCTGGGCACCACAGGAAGGCTGTGTGACTTTCCGGTGCTTGGTTGCCCTCGAGGGCGGGGAGGTACTTCGATTGCCATGATGAGGCCCGTTAAATTCGTCCTGGCCAGTGAACCCAAGCAGGTTCCCCACTTTGGCTTGTCACAGAGCCGAGTAAGCCCCTCATATCAGAAATTTGGGGAGAGCGTTTCTCCCTAATCTTGAGGGAAAACTCAGTAAGGTACCCCATCAGTGACCCACGAACACTGAATTTCTTTTATTTAAATTTCCACGACAGGACTCTAAGAATGCCAAGAAAGAATGTTTCTCCGAACGCTCAGGAGAGAGCCAAGCCCACTTGGCACAGACAGTCTGCAGAAGGGATGCTGAGCCAGGCTGCACAGCGGGGCCAGGGCTGGTACGCAGGATCCACCAGGGCCAGGTCTTCATGCCACATCCCGACCCAGGAAGCACCTGGAACTGGAGTGCTTGGTGTCAGAGAGGGTGGCCATTGCCCAGAGTGACAGGGCTTCACCTCAGGGCATTGGCCCTGGTCCCCAATCCCACCTCCCTCGCCTCCCTCGGGATTGTGTTTCATGTTTTTTTTTTTTAGCTGCACCGCGCAGCTTGTGGAATCTTAGTTTCCCCGACCAGGGATTGAACCCGATTGAACCCGGGCCCTCGGCAGTGAAAGCACAGAGTCCTAACCACTGGTTCGCCAGGGAATCCCCCATGTTTCATGTTTAAATGTCCAGAGCCCCTCCTCGGGCCACGTCCACTGTCTTATCACCCCAGGAGGGCAGGGAGAGAGGGTGGCTTTCAAGGATAATTCTCTTTTCTCTCTTTCACAGAGGCAACACAGAATCTCCACAGTGACTTGCAGATCAGCTCCTCAGAAAGAAAATCAGTCCCCAAAGCCACGCCTGGCTCAAGAATTCCAGGAGGAAAATGGCCACCACACCCAAAGGTTCTCATCACTTGCCAGCAGTTCCCTCCAAGACACATGGAAGTTACTGGACCTGGGATCTAGCCCTTCTGGCCTCACCTCCCAGGACGACTTGCCTCCAGGTAGGTGAAGACGTACATCCCCAGGCCGTTGCCCCATTGGTCTGGGTGCTGGCCATGAGGACAGCCGTGGTGGCCACTCACAGGCTGACACACAGAGTGGGCACGGCGTTCTTCCTGCTGTGGTTAGGGAGTCTGTAAATTCTGCAGTCCTGTCCTCTGATTTGGTGCCTGACCGTCCCCCAGGGACAGAGGGTGTCTCCCAGCCCCGCGTCCAGCTGACCACGTCACCATGTCTACCCAGAGTAGAGCCCACAGGTCACGAGGGTGGGGGCACTGTGGTCAGCCTGTGACTCGGGCAGGCGGGTGTTCTGTGTTCTGCTCAGCCTCACAAGGCCAGGGCAGCCCACGAAGTGCGTGTCCTCTGCCCCCGGGAAAGTCGCTCACTGTGAGGTTCTCAGGAGAGTTCATTTGAAGGGCCACCTTTGGGGGAACTGCGTGAGACCAAGATGTAGTAAGCAGGGTGGGCGGAGGGGAGGCTGTTTGAAGACCTGGGTTGGGGGAATGAACTTGGATCCCCTTCCGCATCAGCTCACAGCAAGCGCCCTCATTCTCGGCTCTCAGCCTCAATGCATGAATGCTTCCTGGTGTGCCCAATGTGCCAATGGGCATTTTAGATTATTTCCAATCTTTTGCCGTCACCAATAACGTTACAGTGAATTACCTTGTACATGCTGTAGTGCGTGCATAAAAGCGTAAATGTAAATTCCCGGAGGGTGTATTGTTTTGTCCAAAGGTATGTGCATGTCCAGTTCGAGAAGATGTTAGTTGGGCTCCATCAGGTGGTACCAGTTCACACCCACCCAGCAAAGGCTGAGAGGGCATCTTTCCCCAGACCCTCTCCAGCAGTGTCATCAAACTATAATCTTTGCCAGTCTGTTAGGTGTCATTTTAATTCATATTTCTCCTGTTAGGAGGTTGTGCATCTTTTCACATGTTTGAGTCATTTCCTTTTCCTTTCCTTCAGTTCTCTGCCCATTTGTATACTGGGTTTATAATCTTTTTCTTATTGATTTGTATGAGCTTATTATATATAATGGAAATCAGACTTTTTCTGAGATATGAATTGCAAATATTTTCCCACAGTTTTTCATTTGTTTTTTGACTTTGCCTATGGTAGTTTTTGTCATGCACGTATTTTTTTATTTTTATGTAATTTAATTAATGTTCTTGTTTTTAATCCTTTCTGGGTTTTGTGCCATACTTGGGTTTTTTCCACTCCAAGATTGAAGATTATTCTGCCATGATGTCTTCTAATACAGTTATGGTTTCCTTTTTTCATAATTAAATCCAGGATCCATTTGGAATTTATCACTGTGTAGGTTATGAAATAGGAACCAAACTTTTTTTAACCCCAGGTGGCAATCCAAATGTCCCCACACCAGTTTTTTTTTTAATATTTATTTATTTATTGGCTGCGTCAGGTCTTAGTTGTGGCATGCAGAATCTTTTGTTGCGGCACACGGGCTCTTTGTTGAGGTGCGTGGGCTTCTCTCTAGTTGTGGCACACGGGCTCCAGAGCCCGTGGGCTCAGTAGTTGCAGCGCCTGTGCTTAGTTGCCCCGCAACATGTGGGATCTTAGTTCCCCAACCAGGGATGGAACCAGCGTCCCCTGCATCCTGTGACGTATTCTCAACCGCTGGACCACCAGGGAAGTCCCCTCCCCATACCCGTTATTGAATAACTCACATTTCCCCACTTGTTTGAAATCCCGCTTTCACTATCATGTTAGATGTTCTGTGTGTACTTGAGTCTGGGTCTGGAGCTCTTGTTCTGTCCCTTGGTTCGGCAGTCCCCAGCCTTTCCACAGACGGGGTGCGCAGGGGTGCAGATGGCTCAGGCGGTAATGTGAGCGAGGGGGAGCGGCAGATGAAGCTTTGCTGGCTCGCCCACCGCTCACCTCCTGCTGTGCCGCCTGGTTCCCAACGGGTCACGGATCAGTACCAGTCAGTGGCCCGGGAGTTGGGGACCTCCGCCTTGATTTATTGGTCTTGGTCTGTCCACGTGCAGTGCTGTTTGAATTGTTACTGCTTCCTGGTCCCTTGTAATGTCTACTGACTTAGGATCTCCAGTTATGCTTCTTTCTCAGAGTTTTCCTGGTAATTCTCATTTGTTTATTTATTTTTTTCCCATACAGTCTTTAGGCCCAGCCCCAAAACTCTGTTGTGGCTTTTCTCAGGATTTGTTAAACCTGGGTTCTGCCCCTGGAAGGAGCCACATCCTCCCAGTGGTCCACATTCTGTCCCCTCTGGCGGCAGCATCGCCCCTGTGATGCCTCCGGGTAGTCTCCTCAGCTGCAGACTGGTCTGTTCTCCTCACGCCTCCCGCTTGAGCTCATTAATCTGAGAAGCTACTGCTTCAGTACATTTTAAATTCAGGAACGTTTTGCTGTATTTTTCATCGGCTCTATCGGAAGTTTTTGGTGAATGTTCATTGTCGTTTTGCTGGTTTCCTTCCTTCTTTTTTCTCGTAGCACTTTTGTTCCTTTGTTCCCCCTCATCTTTAAAAGAGGTGATTTTTCCTTGACCAGGTATTTGTAGGAAACTTATAAGGGAAATGAGGCCAGGGCCATTGTCCAGTCTAGCAGTTTTGTTGGTGGTTTTTAACTAAGTCCGGCCTTGACTTATCTCTGCCCGTTTTCACAAAGCCCAGCTTCTCTCCCCTCCCACCCAGGCACGCTGCATCCAGGGGGTTGTGCTCCCACCTCCTGGCTCCTCCTGAGGCCTCCCACCGTGCCTGCCCTTCCACACACCCCTGCTCATTTCCACCACCTTTGGCAGAACCACCATTTTTCCCATCTGGAATTTTATCTCTAGTTTTCATGAAAATTTTCTCTTTTGGGGGATGATTTACAGGAAGAGTAGGGGAGAAATGCTGACTCAATGATGCCTTCTTCAGGCCACACGTCCATCTTATTTCCTGATAAATGCACTTTCCTCCAGCTCTGCTTTGCTTTAGCAAAAAAACTGAGCAACTGTGCCCCACCCATCCCTCACTAAAAAAAAAATTCCAGAGTAGGTGTCGGCAAACTTTTCTGTGAAGGGCCGAATAGTGAGTATTTTCGGCCTTGTGGCCCAATGGTCTCTCTTGCAACTACTCATCTCTGCCTGCAGCTCAAAAGCAGCCGCAGACAATGTGTAAGTGATCGGTGTGGCTGTGCACCAATAAAACTTTATTGACAAACACAGGCAGTAGTGATGCTGTTTCTCAAGCTGAGTATACAGGTTTCTGTTTTATTCTTTGTTTTATTTTTTAACAATTCTTTAAACGATACACGTATGTTATATGTGCTTGATATAGTTTGGTATCTTTTATAATGAAAAGATTTTAGAGGGAGGGAGTGGTCAGCTGGGTGGAATGCTGCAAAGAGGTCAGGGAAGGTCAGGGCAGAAAAGTGCTCTGCATCACTATGGCCTTCTGGCTGTCTCAGTGGAGTGGTGGACTTGTCATCCAGCCTTCCCAGTTAAAGGGGCTGGAGAAGAACGGGTGGACAGCTTAGTCAAGATTTCTTGGGACTTCCCTGGTGGCGCAGTGGTTGAGAGTCCGCCTGCCAATGCAGAGGACACGGGTTCGTGCCCCGGTCTGGGAAGATCCTACATGCCGCAGAGCGACTGGGCCTGTGAGCCATGGCCACTGAGCCTGCGCGTCCGGAGCCTGTGCTCTGCAACGGGAGAGGCCACAACAGTGAGAGGCCCGTGTACGGCAAAAAAAAAAAAAAAGATGTCTTGCTCTGAAAAGCAGCAGTTAAAATAGGGACTGGGGACTTCCCTGGTGATGCAGTGGACAAGAATCCACCTGCCAACATAGGGGACACAGGTTCGAGCCCTGGTCTGGGAAGATCCCACATGCTGTGGAGCAACTAAGCCCATGCACCACAGCTACTGAGCCTGCGCTCTAGAGCCTGAGAGCCACAACTACTGAGCCCGTGTGCCACAACTACTGAAGCCCACGCGCCTAGAGCCCATGCTCTGCAAAAAGAGAAGTCACCGCAATGAGAAGCCCGCGCACTGCAACGAAGAGTAGCCCCTGCTCACCACAACTAGAGAAAGCCCATGTGCAGCAACGAAGACACAATGCAGCCAAAAATAAATAAACAAACAAATAAATAAATAAATAAATTTACATTTAAAATACTTTTAAAAAAAAGAGCGATATTGGAGGAAGTTGTGGAAGTGCAGCCTGTCTATATGCAGGTTGGGAAGATGGGCGAGATGTGATGCTTGTGGCTGGGGAGGAGGGCAAACCCAGGAGAGAAAGGGGTGGGGGGGCTCAAGGGGCTGGGGTTTGATAGCACAGGTCAGAGGCAGGGAGGTGATGGGCAGCCAGAACTGGGAGCTTACGGGCCACACCTGACAAGCAAGCTGCCACAGCCTCACAGGCACCGGCAGAAGACACGGAGAACTCGTCACTCGCAGCACAGCAGGCAGCCAAGGGTCTCCTCAATCCCTGTCCCACGGGCCAGGGCAAGAGTCTCAGCTGAGTGACCCCAAACGGGCAGAACCCAAATCTTTCATAGTGGGCTGCAGGCATCTCTGCCCTTTGCCCCCGAGGGAGTCGTGCTGTCTTCTTCTGAGGCTGTTGGCCATGGAAACACCCAGGCAGGAGAGTCAGGAGCAGAAGCCTTCAGTGGCCTGAGGAGAACTGTCCCAACAGCAGGTCTGGTGGTGGGAAAACAGGTGCCGGTCGGTTCCCTTTATTTCCTCCTTTCAAGTATGAGGCAAAGCCATGGACTCTGAGAGGAGGAGGTGGAGGGAGAGGTAGAAAGAGAAGTGTGAAATGGTCGTCTGGTATATGAGGAAGCAGGGACAAGTAGTGGTGGATGGTGCCATCGGCCATGCAGGTCCCCGTGGATAGCAGGGCCTGGATCAGGGCGAGAACAGCCCACTGGTGGCTGGAGGTGGAAGTGGGGACCGTGCTGGGGGGGGAGGGAAGGGTCACTGCAAACACGGCCCCCAGCAGTGGAATTGGCTTGGGGTGGAGGTGGGGATGGTTTGTATTAGGTT